AGGATCTCGAACAGGAAGAAGTTGCGCGCGATGTCGTCCCCCGCCACGCAGGCCGGATGGATGGTGGAGGACGGCGTGATGGTGCCCGTGATGCCGATGAACACCGCCACCGTGAAGAAGGTGTTGGCTGACACTATGCCCTCCAGCGCCTTCACGGCCAACTCCGGGTTGCGCCGCCGCAGCGTCGGCATTGCTGCGGCCAGTGGCTGTTGAGGAACAAGCAAGAACAATCCTCTTCTGAGGTGGGTTAACAACTCTGAATAAAGAAAGCAATGCAGTACTGGAGTTGGTATTGATCTGTCCCTGTCCCTGTCCCTGTGCAAATCAGATTCAACCAAGCTTGACCGTCGATCACACGCCTCCCCCTCGCATATCCAGTGCTAGAACAATACGTGATCCATACTTAAAGCGGCTGCAGGGATCGGAACCTAGTGCAGGTTGCTAGCTTTCCGGTGCGGCAACACAAACCTGAAAGGCGCAGCAACGGCGCAGATGATCCAATTCATCAGGTCGAGGAGGAGAAGATGATAGCTCCTTGCCAACCACCGGTAGGTAGGTGTGCGCACTTGGTTCCCTTCCCAGTGTGTAGCAGACTGCAGACGGGCACTGAGTGAGTTGTTGTTATGTATGCCCATGGCGTACTGGTTGTCCATTAGCAAACCACTGGAAAGGATAGGAGAATAATGGAATTTTCGTTGGAGGGATCATTCCTTGCATTGGGAAAACAGACTGCAGCCAACCAGAGAATGATTGTATTGCTTCTGAAATCATGTACTATGATGATGATGTGTATGTACAGTACAGCGCAGATACTCGAGAAGATGTCAGCTTACTACAGGGGAAGATGATGATGTGTATGTGGTACACTGACTAGTTAAGCACCTTATGAGGGGAGATGCTTCCTAGCATGCATGTTGTATACACATCATTTACCTGCACATGAACACTACATGTTGCTGTTATCTTCTTTAATCTCCACTCTCCATATGGCATAAGTACCAGAATGGACCAAAATACAACACCTGGTGTGCTAGAGTTGGATGAAATGCTTTATGTTTCCTATCTTCATTTCTGTTCCAAATAGTACATAAGGATGATTTGACTCTTTTTTTTTTGGTACACTGAATAGGCTTGAGTAAAGGTTTCCGAGTCAACTTTTCAGATACTCAAGCTTTTATATATCTGAATTTCTGATGTTCTGTGTGTTCTGAGGTTAATAATTCAGTATTGAGTCAGCTTGTACTATAGTAACTTTCTGTGGTTCCTATATGTATCACTTAAATAATGTAATATTTTTGAGTCTCGGATAAGATTTTTTTGGAACAAAATGGAAGGATCTCGTCCTTTCAAAATTGGAAAAAGAGTTTGAGTTTCATCGTTACATTAAGGTCACTAGGCACACACCAGTGGCACCACCACCACTCAAGGTTCACGCTACTGAGGAGCGGGCCTGGAAGCAAAAGGCTTTGCAGCGCACTGCACGCACAGCGTGACGGAGGGAGACGAGCTGCAAGCAGGCCTGGCCCACTTAGGGGCTCGCAAATGCAAAAGGAACGCGCGCTAGCCCGCGTGCGCAAGTAGCAATGTTTTTGCATGGCAGGCCAAGTGGGCCTGTTTTCTCTTTTTCTTGCACTAACACAAGACTTGACTGGAGCCATTAGCTTATAAAAAGCCCATGTTATATTATTATTTATTATTATCACGAGTGCTCGGCACTTGTGATATCACAAGCCCATGTCATTACAATTTCAGAATTCAGAACTCTGGATTGAATTTTGGACTTATAATCTGAGTATATCACAAGTGCCTTATTTGAAGTATACATGCGTGACAACCTTTTTTTTTTGAACGTTCGTTTCATTAAGGGCCTGTTTAAAGTTTAGTCAGTTAAACTAGTCTCATTTATTCACTTTTCACTCAAACACTATGACTAAATGAGCTTTAGCCAACTAGTCACCAAATTAGACTAAACCTCACCTTTTAGCCACTTTGGAGCCAAGTACCATTACTAAAAGGGACTAAAAGACCTCTTTTAATCTCCTTTATTCACCCAAACCAAACCCCAGTGACTAAAGTTTAGGCCCTATTCGCTTATCTTATGAGCCGTACTATTTTAGTGAACGAACAATGTTTTTCTCTCACAACAAACAGCAAACAATACTTTTAGCCATGACTTTTTAGCAAAACGAACAGGGGTTCAGGTGACTAAAGCTTAGGAGGAGGAAACCAAACATAGCCTAAACAGGGGTTAGAATGAAATTATACGCCCAACATCATTTCAGGGCCTGAAAATATTTTTTTTCAGGAAACTGGAGGTGCCGAAGCCCATGCAGAAAATATATTAAAACAAAGTAAAGGAAAAAAGAGTGCAAGTGCAAAGTCAAGAGACAAAAAAAAAAGAAACAAAGAAAATAAAGAAGGAGCCTACTGATTACACCACCGGTGTTTGTGTCCATTGATCAAAAGACCGCGAAAGACCTTACTTGACTCTGTGTGACAGTAGCATAAGCTCCGTAAAGAAGAGGCGTCCCCAGGACGATGTTAAGCTAGGTTGGACTCCTTTGAAAGTTAAGTTGTTCCTTGCCGTCCATATCATATAGCACATAACAAACAACATCACAGGTATCACGAAGAACTGTGACTAAATTATGGATTTTTTTGAAATAATATTATTTTAATAAATAATTGCAGATCTAGATGTTGTTTTTATAAAATAGTAAAACTAGCATCATGTCGCCTATCGAGAAGCCGACAGGATACCTATCGGCTAGTGGGATGCCGACATCCTACGTGGCAAGCGCAAAAGGTAAAGTATGGTCTAGTCGGCAATTAAGCCGACTGAACACCAGTCGGCAGTTCAGCAGCCGAAAGATATAGTCGGCTCACCCAGAGCCAGTAAAGTATGGTCTAGTCGGCAATTAAGCCGACTGAACACCAGTCGGCAGTTCAGCAGCCGAAAGATATAGTCGGCTCACCCAGAGCCAATAGGCCTATCAGGGTGGCCGATTGGACTACTGGCTAGCAACGTTTCCAAATGGACCATTTATTTTTAGTTTTATTTTTTTGTGATCTCAAATAAAATACCTAAACACCTTAAGAAATATTGTAATTTTTTATGTAGATGCCAAGAATCAAACACAACCAATTTTGCTTGGATCTAGCATAATTGCTTTTATAGTTTTCAAATTAAAATTATTTTTCTAATGTTATATTTGAGTTTTCGCATAAGTTGTTTAGCCTTGAAATGGTCTCCACAAATTCAAAAAAATCCTCTAAATTCATGGTTCAGAAAGTAGTACTTTGTCATATTCTATATATATGCTTAGGTAAAATCCAAAGTTTCTTAATAAAGCACATGTTCAATATTAAGTTTTAATTTGAGAAAATAAATTTAGCAGGAGTTCAAATGTGGTAGAACCGCTAATTTAAACTAATTATATGCATACTCGCTCACCATTGGACACAATGTAGATCTTATGTATTTCGGAATTGTTTGGACAGAAAAATCATACAGGAGATCTCTCTACGCATAGGAAAAATAGTGCGAGCTTGCGGAATACCTCCAATTAAGTTGCAAAAGTTGTCAACGTCGGTCTTCGCTTCGCGTTATCTATGCATGTGATGTTGGTGTAGACGTAGACGTTGTCACGTTAATTATAGGGTCAATTTAATAGCCAACTTGCTTCTTATGCCCGCACGTATCGTACACCGTACATTCTGCTAGTTTTTTTTTTCTTCTAGCTTCTTAATAGCACATGCAAACATATATGCAAATTAAATTTTGTTCAAAAATCTCGTCAAGCAGGAATATTTAATTTCAAAGTAGGCCATGTTCTATTGCTACGAACACATGCAAACACCACTAATTAAATTAGGTTCATTATTGTGGAACATATATCCAGCGTTATGTTTTTAGTGGTAAGTGTTAGATTTATTCGAGGATTTAACGATGTTGTAGACGTCGTCTTTCGGAGGTGCTCATAGGGGTAGGGTTTACGTGCATAGGGGTTAGCGTTACCTGATACTCTCTCTATCAAAAAAAAATGCAACTATGAGTTGGGTGTAATTTAATGATACTTATTTTGCCTCATCATTGTTACTATATTTTTATATAATTTTAGTCAAATTTTAAATTGTTTGATTTTTCAAAAAGTCACAATTGCATTTTTTTTTCCGGAGGGAGTAGGCAACTTGTATCGTACATGACGCTATCTGTTCTCTGACAAAAGAAAAAGGACATGGCCGGTCCTGTGCCCTATCAGGTAGCCATGTAAAAAAAAGAAAAGGACATGTCCAGTCCAGCAATCTGGTTTCGGTGAAAAAAGCAAAAACAGCCCTATCGGCCTGTGGAAAGCCGACTGTTTTTATCGGCAATTGCCTAGCCGACGGGTCTGTCGGCAAAATTTCCATCCACGTGGACAGGACTCAGAACTTAGGGCACCACTTGTCGGTAGCTGAATTACCGGTTGGACCTTGTCGGCCATCGAGACCACGTGGACAGGACATATGGCAGCACTTGTCGGTAGCTGAATTACCGATTGGACCTTGTCGGCTTTCGAGATGCCGATAGGTACAATATCGGCCTCTGGATGACCGATACGATGCTAGTTTTGTAAATTTTTAAAAGCAACATCTAGATCTGCAATTATTTATTAAAATAATATTATTTCTAAAAAAATTCCTAAATTATGTCCTTGAAGTGATCCGTGATTTTTGTGGAAGTCTCCACGATGGGATGATGTCTAGGTCGATGAAACTCCAGCACTTTTTTGAAAGGGGACAATGGAGGAATAGATGTGCAGTTTCTTCGACATCTTGGTTACACAACACACAACTATGGGAGTCCAAGTGAGTAAATAATAAAGCATAATAATGTACTAGCTAGTAGATATGATGAACGTGGGCACGAGTATATGGGCACGTGACCTCTTATCATCTAGACCACCTCTCTAGTTCAAAGCTACAAAGTCGCACACCGGCCCCGGCGACGATGGCGGCTGTCAGGTCAGGCTCAGGCCGTGGCTGCCACTGACCCCGAGCACCGCGAGCAGTATCATCCACCACGAGGTGCCCTTGTTCCTTCCGTCTCCCTTGGAACTGTCGAACCTGTCCACCGTCAGGTTCCAGTCACGTACGCCGACGAGAATGCCTTGGATGGTGCTAGCGAAGAAGCCGACCATCGCTTTCCCGGTGGTGCGCTGTCCAGCGAGGCCGACGATGCGCTTGTCGAGGAGGGCCGTGGCCGGCCTCGCCCCCTGCACCGGCGACGTACACGGACAGCCTGTGCGCGGCAGCGTCGTACTCGATCTACACGGCGCCAGGCGCCGCCGTGCCGTTGGGAATGACGGTGACGTTGAGGCCGAAGGCTGGGTTGGCGAAGCTGTCCTGGAGGCAGAGGACGACGAACGCGACGGGTGCGGCGCCGCTCAGCGCGAAGCTGGTGTTGAAGGAGGCCACGAGGGCGGGGCGCCCGCCGGGGCCTGAGCGCCAGACGTCGACGGTATGCGAGAGCAGCAGGAAGCCCTCGGTGCGGTTGAACTCGGCGAAAGCGCCGTCGTGGTCGAAGAGGTGGGAGGCCGACGTGAGGACGGAGGTGTTGCTTCCCGCCACGAGGTCCTGCGTCGTGGTGGCGTCGAAGGCCGGGTAGCTGAAGGAGTCGACGTGCGCCGCTGTGGCGACGGAGATGGCTGCTGCTCCGAGTCCGACGACGACGACGAGCAGCAGTACAGGCTTGTGCTTTATTGCACCGGTCATACGATCAGAGCGCGGCATCTTGTGATGGATGAGATTGGCATCACAACGGGGCTGCTCCATTTTATAGCTCGCGACCCAGCTGTGGCCTGTGGGGGTTCTTCAGTTCAGTCATCCATGAAACGAAACGTTGACTAAGTCAAAGCCTACTGAATCTGCCGGGCACGTGGGAGCGTTGGAGGAAATGTCTGTGATTAGGCAGATGAGAAATTAATGATCGTCAGAAATCAGAATCGACCGCGCTAGCTCGCTTCCTCGTCTCACAAATGCTTGGCCAAATCGCTTGCCACGCTTGGCTTTTAGTTTGATCAATATAATGGGCACAAGCAAAAAAGCCTGTTCGCTTGTGCTATTCAACCAGCTTTAATCCGTACAAATCAGCCATAGAATAGTATTTTTCTCTCATAACAAATCAGTCATATAAATCAGCGGAACCTAATTTAATACCAGCCCAACAGACTCTTCGAGTGGTGGGATGTCTAGGTCGATGAAACCCCAACGTTGTTTTGCAAAGGGACAATGGACGAACAAATGTTGTGCAGTTTCTTCCACATCTTGATTACACAACACACAATTATAGGAGTCCAAGTGCACGTTTTTCCTTCTCAATATATTCCTTATGCTTCGTCTGTTCGATTAGTAACCAGAAAAACACCATATGCTTTGGCCGACAAAAGCAGTCCCACGACCATTTGTAAGTATTATGTATCTATGCATGGCCAATTAGGATTTTGTAGGCCCTTGAGGATATAAAGTTGGACCCCATATATGTATTTCGAACTGTCCCTATCCTCATCTAACTGAATGTTTGCCACTTCCTACATAGCTGGGCATGTGACCTCTTATCTAGTACTAGTAGTAGATATGACCAGTAGATATGATGAACGTGCGGGCACAAGTATATGGGCATGTGACCTCTTATCTATACCAGTTCTCTTAGGATTGCATTCCTATGCCCTGATTTCACAGGAAAATAAACATGAGGTCAGACCTCTCGAAAACTTTCCTAGCGTGAAATCAGACTTCTCGCATGCCTAGCTCGCTCATCTTCGCGCTCGTGGGTGTCAGCCTCGCACTTGTTTTCTTAGATTTTTTTGACAAACTGAGACGACGGCTCGGTGAATCAAAACAAAACCCTTCCCATCGCGGGCAAGGGACGACAAACGGCCGTCCCATCGCGGGCTCGCGCGACGGCCGCGGCATCACCTCTGCACGGGACAGCGCGACGCCCTCCCCATCGCCGGCCATCGAGACGGCCTCTCCCAACGACCGGCGTCGAGGCGGCCAGCGGCGACATGAAGTTGGGATAGGACGCCGCCGCTCCTTCCGGGCTTCGGCATTGTGGCAGCTTTTTTTTTTCTTCGCCGTCTGCCGTCCTCCTGCAAGCCACCATCACCGCTCTCGGATCTGCCGTGGGGCCCCGACATTGTCGTCAAGAGAAGCCACGCCTCGCGAAGTCGCTGCCGCCGTGGGTGGGACCCAGATCTTATGCTCCTGCCTCCTCCAATGTCGGCACAAGCGCCACCGAGTTGGTCGACAAGCTACTCGGCCAGTACCGAACAGCGCTCGGGAGGTCGATGCCGCGGCCGGTGCGGAGGTCGCTGGTCGCGCGGCCTTGGCTGGCGGAGCTCGCGCCGGACGATCTCCGCCCGCGCGTCCTTGGAGGAGCCTGCTTGCAATCCGCACGGCCGGCGCGAAGATCGCCTGAGCGGAGCTCGCGGATGTGGGTCTCTCTAGCTTGGAGCTCGCCGGGCAGAGATTACTGGTGCCATGCTCGCCGGTGGTATTGGCGTGTGCTGATAGCCATTAGCAGTCTGTGCGTCAGAGAAGAAAAGCGAGAGAGAGAATAGACAGGAAGGCTCCTGTGCGTCAGAAGCGAGACAGCTGAACGTGGTGGGCCTCCAGCCTCACGTAGGCTATGAATGAGTCTAGAATTGCATGTATTTTGGCACAAGAGGATGACCCTAGGATTGCATTTTTTTATGCACGAAGAGAGTATATGCTAATTTATAGCTAATACTTTATTCTCATATATGATGCTATTTAAGAGATTTGTAAGGTTTGACTCTGCAAGACCTATGCGCTCAAAGAAAAAAAATTTGTGTTGTCCAATTTGTATAAATGATTCAAACACATGTGATCCTCTCAAACTTCTTAGCATTAGTTACCGTATCATTCATGATTTTTTTTTGGCGATCGTGCCATAGCACATTTTTCATTAAAAGGAAATACAGTTAACAACAAACCTATTGCTGGTAATGAGAGTTACCGAACAACAGGGACCCGAGAGGAGCACTAAGGCGATATTACACAGCACATTGCATGACTGAGAACGCAACTAGGAGGCACGCAGACTAGCGAGCCTCAAGCTCCACCTCCTGAACTTCAGAGAGAAAGGCATCGAGGAAGTCATCGTCCTAAAGCAGCACCTTGAAGGCCTCATGTTTGCAAGCCAAAAGAGGCTCGGCAAAGATCAACTCGAACTTCTTGAAAGCCGCTGAGTCCACTAATCGTGTAGGGGATGCCAAACCCAACTTTACCATGAGGACGTTCTGAGCCTAGACTGTTGGGTTCGCCGCCCTCTGCTTGGCGGCAAGACGACTGCTGCGCCTTAGCGCGTCAGTTCCAGGCTGGAATTTGGGTTTCCTCAACCTAGGTCTGCCCTTGATCAGAGGTGTTTGAAGAGGTACACAAAGGTGATGTTCTAGCTCGGCCATCGTTACAGGTGGCATCACGTCGTCGTCGTCCGGATGGCCATCTCGCGTCAGTGTAGAAGCGTCCGCCTGATGCTTGGCCGGTCCGAACCCAGCTGGCCAGACCTCTGCATCCTCCCCAGGCGCCTCAGCTTCCACAACGCTGGGTTGTCCCACATGTGGTGGCATGACCTGTTGCAGCCCCTGCACAGGCGATAACGGGGGAGACTCCGTCATCCACAAAGCCGTCGTGGCTGGAGAATGGGTTTCCAGCAACAAAGCTTCCTCCTGAGAGATGGCTGCCAGAGTAGTCAGGCGCCCAGGCATTGGTGCTCCCGTTGGCCGGCTCACGACGAGCGAGGCGGTGAGCTCCTCCAGCATTGGGTCAACCCATGCGGGAGGTCCCGCACCCGCGCACAACTCCAACACCAGCGGGTCTGACTCGAGGAAGCAGTGAGCAGCAGCGGTTGAGGTGTCGCCCGGCGCTGCCAGGGTGGCCCGTGCCGACCGCCACTGGCAGGATCGGCGCTGCCCAGCACGGTCCCACCAGCGCCTCGTGGTCCGCAACGGAGTAGGAGTTGCCGAGGCCACAAACCGGGCATGGTGCATCGCTCGAGCTCCTAGAGCCTTCGTACCGTGGCCGGTTGTAGTGGCGCGCAATGTGTTGAAATCCTTTGCAGTGCAGACAATGCTAGGGCAGCTTGCTGGTTGCCACCCGATGTGCGGAGAAGAGTCAATTGAGGCACTTGCCGTGAAGATCCGGTGGGATACGCCTTGGAGGTCGACGGCTCGCAAGTGGGTTGGGGCTTGTCCCAACACCACCTCTTGCCGGCCCTTGCAGCAGGACCTTGCGCCAGCCATCCGCATCTGGGGCAGAGATACGGTGGCGATTGCCCATAGGCACCCGTGGGCCGAGCCTCTGATGGACCGACAAGCGCTGAACGTTAGTCGCGACCTAGTTAGGTAGCCCAAGGATAAGCTACGGGTGTGGCCAACGGTGCTTGCTCTGCCCGGCGGCCTCTCCGCCTCTGCCTCGGCCACACTTCCCTATCGCAGCGCCATCGGGGCCCCGAACCACGACAGAGCCCGGTCGTGCCCGTACAGGTGGGGGCGATGGAGTAGTCCTCATCGGAATAGTCGAGGGAGTCCTTAGCCCATTGACGGAACTTGGAGCGGCCCTTCGAACCACACTCCGAATGGAACGAGGGTGAGAAGGGGGAGAGGGAAGAGTAGGTAGGCGAAGTCACCGGCACCGAGACGGTCGTCGACAGGCTGGTGTGCGGGCGGCGGGGGGCGCTCGTCCCATCGAGGGTGGGGGCCCCATCGGCGTTGGAGGCGGCGATGGTGGTGGTCGCTAGAGCCGGAGAGGCCTCTAGCGGGCTAGGGCTCCCAAGACGCCGCGGCTGCGCTAGGAATGGCAGCTTCTCGAGCTGGGGGTTGGGGTGTTCCATCTCGTGGGATGCTGGGAGAGGAAGGAAGATGGACCCATTGATTGGTAGATCGGTCGGAGGTAGTTGCGGATATGTGCCTTGTTGCTGCTGAGAGGCTAGAACTGCTACGGATCTGGGAGGATTTGGTGTGTGTGTGGGGGGGGGGGGGGGGGGGGAATGACGGAGGGAAGGAGCGGGTCAGGGGGCTTCAGCTCGCGGCCCATTCCATGATCAATTTAGGTCATTCATGATGGCTATATCTCCTTGATTGATTCCTCATCTCTACTATAAGGGACCAATCAAAACTATACTAGGTCTCCCAAAAAAAGTCCCCCGCTGAGAGACTACAACCATTGTGCACCAACGAAATTGTACCCAGGATTACCGTATCATTAAAATCTATGGCTCCTAATCCTTTCTCACAGGCTTCAACTTGATTCGATGGCCAACGTTATTTGGATCTCCCCCGCCCAGGCTTCAACGCATGCCTCACACATCCCGCAGGCTACGGTAAAATGGAAACCAATGGAAGTCAATCAAGGCAAATATGGAAGTCAATCAAGGCAAATAGGAAGGAGGGATCCGTGACTCCGATCATGGCAATTTCCAGAATTGTCATTATAATGGAAAACCCCACGCCAAGCCCGGCCCCATCTGACGCGCCCCTTCCAAAACTCTCCGTGCCGTTATGGTATTGCGTCAATAAGGAATGGCGACAGACCTGCCAACATACCCACTCGCATGTTTCCATCAAGAACACGTGGGACCTGGTTTGGTGACCCCACGCGTCAGTAGGAGCAGTGGAGCGTCTGCAGCATGGCTAAACCTGGAAAGGTCTACCCCTTTCTTCTCATAAAATACCAACGGCGGCACCTTGGACAAGGAAGCAAAACGGGTC